CTCAAAAAAAAAAAAAAAAAAAAGTGACAGGTAAAAAGTAGAATACCTTTTAAAAATAAATAAATAAGGCTGGGCACGATGGCTGATGCCTGTAACCCCAGCACTTTGGGAGGCTGAGGCGGGTGGATCATGAGGTCAGGAGTTCGAGAGCAGCCTGACCAACATGGTAAAACCCCATCTCTACTAAAAATACAAAAATTAGCTGGGCGTGGTGCGGCACACCGGTAATTCCAGCTACTCAGGAGGCTGAGGCGAGAATTCCTTAAACCTGAGAGGCGGAGTTTGTAGTGAGCCAAGATGGAGCCACTGCACTCCAGCCTGGGTGACAGAGCGAGACTCTGCTTCAAAAATAAATAAATAAATAAACAACTTAAAAAATAAAACAGTATATATATTCATTTTTCCATTTATAATGTAAATAATAAATTTGCCACATTTGTTTCTGCATATTGCCTTTTCAGCCAGCCTATGGCATTTGTTCTATGTTTTAGTAAAGAGCTGCAGTATTAAAGGATATACCTTAATGTGTTTATCCAGTTTCCCCATCAGTGGACATTAAGATTGTTTTCAGAGTAGTCTTACAAACCGTACAGTTTGTCATTTCAGACACATATGAGAATATTAGTAGGATAAATTATTTTAAGTATGCGTTTATAAATTTATGGATATTGCCATATTTCCATCTGATGGGAAGTATATTCCTGTTAACAATATGTCAAAGTGCCTGTTTTTCTAAACTGTCTTCAGTGCAGTGAATTATTAAACTTCTGGATCTCTGCCAGTCTGAGAGGTGAAAAATAACATCTCTGTGTAACTTTAATTTGCATTTCTCTGAGATTGAGCAACTTTGTGTAATTTAAAAGATAATTTAGGAGGTGGATCCTGTACCTGGTGAGCCCCTCCCAGCCTTCCCTCTGGCCCAGCTCCAGCCACCATGTGTCTCTCCTCCTCCCCACCTTGTGGAGGGCAGCATCCCTCCAGCTTTGGCTCTGTGGATGGCTGTCCCAGAGCAACTGCTCAGGACTGACCCACACCCCCAGGACTGCTGACGTCTCTGGGGAGCTTCCCTGGCCCCCACCAGACATCTTGCACCCGGGAGCCCCCTCAGGCCATTAGCATCAAGGAGGCTAGGTCCTCAAATCTGCCTGCCCCGGAGAGGACCATGGCTAGGCAGAGTAAGGAGCCAAACTCCTGGCAGGCCCTCATGTCTGCACAGCCTTCACCACGCTGCAGGTCCATGCCTTGGAGGGCATCTTCTGGCACCACAAGTACCTGGGCCCTCTGAAGCAGAAGAGGTTGGCCAGGGAGATACAGCTCTCGGAGGTCCAGATAAAAACCTGGTTTCACAATCACCGGATGAAACACAAATGGCAAATGCAGGACTCCCAGCTGAACACCCCTTTCTTGGGGTATCTCCACGCACCCCTGGCTTTCCACTCACTGTCTTCTGACCTTGCCAATGGCCTGTAGCTGCTGTGCCCTTGGGCACCCCTACCTGGGCCTCAGGCTCTGATGCTGCCCCTGGCTCCTTTTGGGGTCTCTGCCAAGTGGAACAAGAGGCCCTTGCCTCTGTGGGGGCTTTCTGCTGTGGGCAGCCTCTGGCCTACCACCCTCCCAAGCCCAGGAAGTGGTGTGCATATTCTGGGACCAGCTCTCTCTAAGGTGCCCTGGGGCCTGTGTGCTCTGCCGGAGACAGGGGATATCCTGCATTTTGAGGAAGCACCTGACTCCCTGCTTCCCACACACGCAGTCTGTGCAGATTGCACCTAGTGTCTACCCGGAGGACTCAGCTTTCTGTTTACATCGTGGTGGCACCTCTCACCCTGATGCATGCAAAGGTTCTAGAGACTTCTGGAAAATATATTTATAAAAACCACCTCTTCACTGAAAGTTACCAAAAGGGTCAGTTTAGGAAGTAAATGAAGGGTCAGTGAACAGAGTCAAATGTAGAAGTGGGCTTGTTATAGATAGGGCTTTCAGCATATGATAAAAAGATAATTTGTTTTTTAAAAAGCATTGGAAAAACTGGTTTTCCAGTTAGAAAAGGTAAAGGTTGTAAGCTTTGTGTGTAAAAAAGAAAACCATGAAGGATTGGAAGGGAATTCAGATGTCTTGTTTATAACCTGTGGTTTGAGTTCCTCTTAACAAGGACTCCAAAGCTGAAAAGCATGAGGGAACAAAGGTGAAAATTAAGGTGGGTTGCTGGGGCCCTGCAGTGGTTCTAGGCCGTGCATGAGCCAGGACTGTGCCTGCAGCATGCTTGAGGCTGCTCTTCTTGGGCCAGGGAAAGCGGGTAGCTGGGACCTGCAGCTGTGCCTGGACTGAAGCTGTCCCACATGTCCCCACCCTCCAGCATGTGCTTACCTGTCCTCCTCCTCACAGTAGCCTCAGGACAAAACAGAATGACTCAAGGAGAGCACTTCCTACAAAAGTCTAGAAGTGCCCAAAATGGGAGGCACGGAAGCCCCTCCTCTCCCTCATTGATGGACCATTCTTGGTGCAGACTCCTGACTACAGGCACCGAACCTTAGAAAAGCGTGCAACCGTCCGTGTCGCCCCAGAGTACCCAGGAGGCAGGCAGTGCAGGGCGCCCAGACAGACAGGTTCAGCCTGCAGGACTGGGAGGCCACCTGTGAAACCAACCCAGGCATCCCAACAGGAACAAAAGTGTGGTCCTGTGGCCGTGTCCACAGCAAGTTCCACTTTCCCCTTGCCTATTTCTGCATTGTTGGAAGTGTTTACAACTAGCATGTGCTTTTATAATACAACTTCAGGTAAGAGTGGGGGAAAAAATCATTTAAATTTATTTTTCTGAGCATTCTCTGTTGATTTTTTTTACCCATTTTTATTAGGGTATCAAGGTTTTTCTGACTCGTTTGTAGAAGCTCTTTATATTTTTTAGAAATGAGCGCTTTGCCTATGGTAAAACTGAAAATATTGTTCCCTAGGTGGTCATTTACATTTTCTGCATTGCAGAAGATACCATTAGCTATTTTTAATTTTTTTAATTTAAATATTTCTCAGTTTATTGTAACTTTTCTAGGAATTGGGTGATATTTAGGAAGCCTTTCCTTACTCCAAGATTATAAAAATAGTTTTCTTCTGGACTTCTGTGTGTGTGTGTGTGTGTGTGTGTGTGTGTGTGTGTGTGTGTTTGTCTGTGTGTTTAGGTCTATCTGGAATTTATTCTGATGTAGAGTGTGAGCTATGGATCTGTTTTTCCCCAAGTAGCTATCTTTTCCAAATACCCCTTAATGAATAATTTATTATTCCTCATTGATTTGAAATACCACCTATCCTATATATTGAATTCAGATATTTATTTAACTCTTCATATGTATTTGAGTATTTGGGAACATTCATTTTATTTTCTATTAATTCTTTTTCTTTGTCCATGTGGAAAGCCCC